AGAAATAGAAGAGCAGAGACAAGGCCAAGAAATGAGGGAGGAGAGAGAGGGTGATAAATGAGTGGGGGTATTTTGGGTAATTTGTGTATGAAAAATTGAAATGGAAAGATTATTTCCGGACGAAAAAAAAAGAGAAATGTAAAGATTATTTCCGAATGGAGAGAGTACTATTACTAATAGTAAAAACAGTTCGGTACTTTTACAGTTCAGGATAATACCTCAATACTTTAAGGTATGAGAATATCTTTTTGTTCAAGGCAATGCTTTTAATTTTTTAAAAGACGGTAATTTTTTTATGCACGGTACTCCCAAATTAGTAATTTCCTTTATTATTGTTGTTGTTGTTGTTGTTGTTGTTGCAGCGTAGCACGAGCACTAGGGTGTTGAAATCATATGATGACACTCATAAATGTAAAACGATCATGGCCTTTTATATTACGGATTATTATTATTATTATTATTATTATTATTATTATTATTATTATTATTATTATTATTATTACATTGTTTATAATGAGACTAGTTTATTTAAAGTAAAAGTGGAAAGACAATTATTTTTCGATCAAATTTTGATGCAACTTACTATTTCAACATTACTCTCGGTAATTAAATTTTTAATTACTAACATGTATTTATGATTATTTCTTACTAAAATCGTGTACAAGGAAATCACTTTATTTTAAATATCTACTCATTAAAGTATCTATAAAGTATAAATAGAAACATAAGTGTGATTTTAATTTTGATATTTAAAGTATGAGAATATATATATTTCTTTTGTTCAAGGCAATGCTTTAATTATTTTAAAAGACACTATTTTTTTATGGAAAAATTACCCAAAATAATTCCAACTTTACCTAGTCTTTCAAAAATAATCCCACCTTTCACTGTGATATGATGCATAATAATCACAACTTTACTAAAATTTGCCAATTTTGGGTCGCCGTTAAGTTTCTAACGGAGGGTTAACGGAAATGCCCGTTTTGGGCAACAAAATGAAAGTTGGGATTATTTTTGATGAATTTTCATTTTTTTCATTTTTTTTAATTTTTTATTTAAATTTTTTTAATTACTTTCTACCTCCATCATCATTTCTTTTTCCTTTTTTAAAGATTAGTTTTAGTTTAAAAAATAAAAATAATAGATATAAAAAATGAAAAAAAATGAGAAATGTAACTAAAATGATACAAAAATAATAAAATAAATAAGCTAATCAATGGAAACTAACTTGAAATTAGTAAGAGTAAAATAAAAATATACGGGTAGGTTTTAATATTTTATGTATTATACAAAGTATTAACATATCACTACTTATTTATTAGAAAAAATTATCTACAAGAATTCCAATTTTACCGGATGACTTGTTCTTTTAAAAAATAAGTAATATATTAAGACTTGGTATAGTGTGTACAATGTTAAAACCCACCACTCCGTATATATTTATTTTATCTCTTACCAGTTTCTGTTTAATTTTTATTGATTACATTATTCATTTGATTAATTTGTACTGTTTTAGTTATTTTTGTCATTTTCATTATTTTTATATCTATTTTTTTTCTAAGGTAAAAATAATCTTTAAAAAAGAAAAAGAAATGGAGGTTGAAAATAATTCAAAAATTTAAATAAAATTTCAAAAAAAAATTAAAAAATAAAAATTCATCAAAAATAATCCCAACTTTCATTTTGTTGTCTAAAACGGGCATTTCCGTTAACCCTCCGTTAGAAACTTAACGGCGACCCAAAATTGGCAAATTTCAATAAAGTTGGGATTATTATGCATCACAGTGAAAGATGTGATTATTTTTGACAGACCGGGTAAAGTTGGGATTATTTTGGATAATTTTTCCTTTTTTTATACACAGCAATTGTGTGAAAGAAATATACCTTTTTAATATGATTATTATTAAGTTGCTTATAATGATACTATCTTATTTAAGATACATACGTAGTATAAAAGGAAACATAATAATTTTTTTATCGATTTTTGGAGTTAAATACCATTTCAAAATTTGCTTTTTAACTAAAATTTTTAATTACTAACCTATTTTATGATTCTTTTTTACCAAAACTATGTATAAGGAAACCACTTTATTTTTAAACTACAAATGGTATAAATCCTATAAAACGTGTAATATGTTTTTTAAGTGTCAATAAAAAATTATTTTCATATCCATACATAGTAAAACATAAAAGCTAATGTCACTTAATGTGCAAAAGCGTCAATAACGTTTATTACCATTTAAAAATATTTTTAAACCAAAAATATTGACCATGTAGAATATTTAAAAAAATATATAAAAATAATATAAAAGGGGTCATGTTTAACACTTACCTTTTATTACACACGATACATTTTAATTCATAAATATTTACCCAGAGTGTTGTTTTTACATGCCACTATTATATTTAACAATTAAGAATTTATGTTTGGTGGCAATATTTTTTGAAAAATGCTAAATTTGGTGTACTGCATTTGTTTCCCACCCCCTCTATTACACATAAATGGGCAAGAATTTAAAAAATTAAATAAATAAAAAATACTCCCTCTGTCCACCATAGATCTTCCCAAACACTATTTACAAGGTCAAACTTTACTCACTTTGTTTACACTATTCACAAGGTCAAATAGTCATTTCTAAAGTAAAGTTAGAAGTATAATCTTGTCACCTCTAGTTTTGTAGAACTTTTCATTTAGCTTATTACTATATAAATTTTATTTTAAAATTTTACTTTTATATTGAATTGATAATAAAGTTGATCAAGCCTCGTAATGCATAATGGAAAGATCATACATGAAGGGAGAGAGTAGTTAAAATGAGTGGTGGAGAAGGGGGTGAAGTTAAAAACCGTTTAGGCCCGAAAATGGCATGTGGAGTTAAAAAATAAATAAAAGTCAAATAAAGATGTGTGATGAAGAAGCAGGGAGTAATGTAGAATTGAGGTAATCTTTATTGAACCCCTGACATTGCAGTGAAACTGGAAAAGTTAAAAGCAGGGAGTCATAACGTACGGAGTAACAATTAATAAACTCTCTGATGAATAGGGGAGATTCCTCAATTCTCCCCCTTTTTTCATGATTAAGCGCAGCGACCGTCGGCGACAGCCGCACGATGGACGTCGGCTTAGACTCCGTCGGCTGCAACGTCCAGTAGCAGCTACCCAGCCTTCCCCGTCTTCTGCTTCCTCGATCCGGAGCCACACTCAAGGACTGACCACGTCGGCTATGACCTGCGACATCGACGGCGGGGATGACACCAGTTACGGCGGAGGAATTAATCTGGCAGCATTGATGTATATATAATCCGGAAGAGCTCCGCCATCCATCTGCCAAGCTTGACGAATTCCGATTGGATCCGTAAAGTCTCAGGTGTGTATGGATGATCTTATCCGACGTTAGAAACCACTCGTTCGTAGCATATAGTGGATGTATACTTGTTCATACTTAATTAGGTTCATATATATGCAAAAATATGGAAATTGAAAGAAATCGTAATTTGGATTATTAAACCTGTTATTGAAATATCCAGATCTGGTCAGAAGATCTAAGGCTCTGAAAAGTTTACATAAGAAATTGTCGTTGAGAGCGTTACAAGTTACAACACCTTTACCTACACATAGGCCGGTTCCAGCACCACCCCCTTAACCGCCCTGGCCTACCCATAGGCCTGGATACCTTTTCCAGCTCTTTAGGGTCTGTTTGGTACATGGAAGTGACAGAATTAGAATTGAATTGAGAGTTGAAATGATGTGAAATTGATTTGGATAGAATTGAATTCTCCAATCCTAATTTATTCTTGGTACTATCAATTCTAAATTCACATATTTTTGTGTTACCAAGTATTAGAATTAAAATTATTGTCCTCAATTCTAATTTCATAATTTAAATTTCTTGTACCAAACAGAACCTTAAGCTTTAAGTCTTTTACTACAATAAGTTGGGTTAAGACTTCTTATAAGAATAGGACATTAATAGATAATTCGCGAGACGTATTTGATCACAAATTGCCTCCCAAAAGGACTCTAATTCCTAAAGTTGTAGATATCTTTAATTTTTTTTTTGTCAAATTACACAATACTTTGATCACAAATTGTATAAAAATATAGAATATTTAGTTATATTTTGTTTTATAAAAACAACAATCCATTTGGATCTCACGAAGTAGGATTTGGGAAGGGTGTATGTACGCAAACCTTGCCCCTACTCGAAAGTAGATAGGTGAAAGTAGATAGGTGATTTCCATGAGACCCCAGCTCAAGCTTCACAAAAAAAGATCCGATACATAGAGCAAGAAAAGCACATATACAACGCAAATAAAGCACCAAGCACACAACATTAAAACTAAATGAAATAAAGTTGCAAAAACATGAGTATTGCAAGCAAATAACACCAAGCGTAAAAGGTCTACAAGGCACACAACCACAACACCCTTTAGCTCAAGGCGCCTACCTAGTCACTTTAATCCTATCTCTCCAAACACTCCTATCTAAGGTTATTTTCCCAGTAATTACAAGAAATCCTAAGTCCTGTGTTATCAACTTTTCTAACTCTTTCGAGGTCTGCCTCTTCCCCTACTTTCCCTTACCAACATGAGTCTCTCGCATCTTTGAACTAGAGCTTCAACATTCCGCATGCTCACATGACCGAGCCACCTCAACCTAGCTTCTTGAAGCTTATCTTCCATTGGTGTCATGCCTAACCGACCTCAAATGACTTCATTCGGAATTCTATCTAGCCTCGTCTGCCCACATATCCATCGCAACAACCTCATCTCCGCCACATGCATCCGACAAACGTGTTTTATAAAAAATAAGATGTGTAATTATAATGTGAATTGAGTAATATTTGTTTTCATTTTAAAATTTAGTTTTGATAAATCAAATTTTTATAACATTTAATTATTCAAAATTATATTTAATGTATAATTCAAATGTTTCACAATTTGATCAAAAAATCAAATTGTGTTAATTTTTTTGAGATAGATGGAGTATGAGTTTTGTTTTGTCAAAAGATTGGGATCGGATGATCCTCGAAAGATGTTTTACTGAGTTCACAAACACCTTAGACATGTTTTTGGTACTTAAAATATGTGTAAAGGATTAAAAATAATGTTTTTGAATGATTTTTGGTACTCAAGATACGCAGAAAGGGAACTTCTCCCCTGTGGCTTGAGTGGTAGCAAGCCCACTCCCCAGGATTCATGGGGAAGTTCACCCAGGTTCGAGCCCCAGCGAAGGCAGCAGCATTGGCTCTTTGTGCGTCATTAGTCATTAGCTTGAGAATACTATGAACAGATACTACCTTGTAATAGAGTCAATAGCATTCAAAAAAAAAAGATACGCAGAAAGGGTCACGCACTCACGCTAATCAATTAGCCAAGAGGCAGACCAATTAGCCCGAGACAGAACGAAGTGAAACGTGGTAGGAAATAGGCATATAATCTACTCCCTCCGTCCTAAAACTTTCTTCCCGGTTCGCAAAACGAAGAAAAATCCCAAGTTTTTTCAATCTATTTTATTTAAATATTGGTATAGAAATAAAAAATAAAACATACATATTTAAAAACTACATTAAAAGTTCAACAAAACAAGTGGTGACAAGAATATTTTATTTTATATATAGGCCATGAAAAAACACAAATAAATATAAATTGTCGTGAAGTTGGAATAGTGCAATGAGAAGAAAGTTTTAGGACGGAGAGAGTATTAGTTACAGGCATGCGACTCCCATGATCTTGAAAAAATGGCCTACTTATTGATTAAGGCCACTCCTAATCGATCAGTATGACCCGGAAACATTGAATTAATTTGAACTCGGAAAACTGTTTTTGATGAACATTTGATGTTTGGATTGATATGAAGGACTTATGTGATGCCTGACAAAAATGTCATGAGTTAATTCGGAGTACATACTGTGAATACAAATATTGTTAATATTAACGTATTAACATATATGGAATTGAACAACGTGAACTAGAATTTCTAGCTAACTTATGTGCATGAGAAAACGTAGATGGAGCCTGTTGGTGAATACATAGGTGTTAAGTTTTATGTACCTACAGTGATCTGGCCAGGGGCCTGTTAAATATATTCCGTATATTTATTACGGAGTATTATATTATATTATTGTAGTTACCATTTGTAACTAGTTTCTTTTGTAGTTAATTTCCTTTTATAATATCCTACCATTATTAGGATTTGGATTCCCTACATACACACATGCACACTATGTTTGATTCAAGGAATTTGGAAGGAAAAGAAAAGAAAATGGTTTTCTCTCATTTTCCTCACCAAAATGGGAGGAATTTGATTTTCTCTCCTCTTAACATATTTTTGTCTTCTCAATTCTTTTTCCTTCCACTTTTCTTTTCTTTTCCTCTCTATCCAAACAAGAAATGCTATTTTCCATCTCATTTTCTTTTCTTTTCCATTTCAAATTCTTTGAACCAAACATAGTGGTAACGTCCAACATAATTAGGGTCCGTTCCGTAGGACTTATTTTTTCTACTTATTACTTATTCTTATTAAAATATGATCATATCAGATCAGATCAGACCTAATCAGATCAGATCAGATCCAATCAGATCAGATCAGACTCAATCAGATCAGATCAGACTCAATTAGATCAGATCAGATCCAATCAGATCAGACCAGATCCAATCAGATCAGATCAGATCCAATCAGATCAGATCCAATTAGATACCAGATCCAATCAGATCAGACCAGATCAAATTCAATAATATCAAATCAAGAAAAATATAAAAGATAATATTTATATTATTCAAATATTAAATAATAATTACTATTATTTGATTAAATCACATTACTTTATTTAAAACTACACACACCTAAATCTTAATTAATATTATAACTTTAAATTTTATTGTTGTAATAATAATAATAATAATAATATTATTATTATTATTATTACTATTATTATTATATTTCAACTACAAACCATTATTTTATATACTTTTTAGCTTGTAGGATAGAAATGATGCATGGAAGCAATGTTAAAGCTTAAAAATTTTTATTTTTCATACTTTAAAAAGAGTTATTTTAAAATAAATGTTTATGAAATAATTATACAAAACTTAGTTTTCAAAACTATAAATATTTTATACTTAAAAAGACTTATTTTTAAACTTTAAGATGGTATAATATACTTAAGGGTGAGTTTATGACAAAATTGATAGGTGTGAAAGCAATATTAGTGTTTAAAATTTTATATGATCTTTAATTTCTAACATGAAATATATTATTATGTACTCCCTCCGTCCCAAAAAGTCTTTCCTGTTTCAGTTTTTGCGCATCCTATAAAATACTTCTATCGACATCTAAAATGCCTAAAATTTACAACATTTCTTCTTTATTGTGGGTAGAAGCTATTTTGAAAGTTTTTTTTTGCATTCAAGGTGGGATAGAAGTATGTTATGGGATGCGCAAAAAATAAAACAAGAAAGACTTTTTGGGATGGAGGGAGTAATATTTATATAGAATGTGATAATTTTGTAGAATAGCATCAATATTTTCTAAATTTGTTGATTTTAATACCGATTATTTAATTTTCACAAAAATTAAAAAGTTGTAATATTGAAAAGATGTTTAATATTTAAAAAAAAGTTTAAACATATTGATGATTAGCTGATTTTCTTATTTTACTTTTTTTATGTATGTCTATATATATATATATATATATATATATATATATATATATATATATATATATATATATATGGGATTGACTCCAGTCAGATGACATGTTTCGGTCAGATTACACTTTCGGTTAGATGACAATGAATGCTCATTCTGAATCAATGTAGCGCTCATTCTTAAACAATGTAGGATTCATTCTCACACAACTATTCATCACAATGTAGTGTTCATTCATAGCCAGCGAGACGACAACATAGGGTTCATTTTGAATCCACGTAGTGTTCATTCTAAGACATCGTAGGGTTGACTTTCACACATTTGTTCATTATAAACGTAGTACTCATTCTCAAACAACCTAGTACTCATTCACAGTCTGCTCAGTGTAGTGTTCATTCTGAAATAAGGTGGCGCTCATTCTCAAACAAGGTGGTGCTCATTCTAAAGCATGTCATCTGACCGGAAGTGTAATCTGACCGGAACATGTCATCTGACTGGAGTCAATCCCTATATATATATATATATATATATATATATATATATATGAATTATAATATTTTTAAACTATTAATTTTTTAATAATTTTAAGTTTAATTTCAATCAAACTTAAATTCATTTACACCAGATCTAATTAGAAAAATCAGATCTAGTCAGATCAGATCAGATCCAATCAGATCAGATCAGATTCAATCAGATCAGATCAGACCTAATCAGATC